TTAGAGTATTTAGCTCAAATAGATCAAAAATTATTCAAGAAAAACCGTTTCTTGATATTCAAATGCTTGCAACTATTCTGGAAGCATTTTCTAAACATGTACATACAGTGTGTCCGTAAAATATGGAATAAATTCATTATTGCTTAAACCAAAAATATTTAGATAAAATCCTCGTACACTTCGATTTTTAATTTCAATTTCACACCTTACCTTTTTTTTTGTTATGATGTCATCACTGTTTCCGTTATGACGTCATCGATATATTTTTTAAATGGAACACTCTGTATATTTCCCCATTTTTGGATTCTGCTTCAACAGCTGATTCCAAATCGACAACAATTATTGAGAAACCACTATTTGGGTAAAGTATTATTAAGTGATTCACTGTCAAAGACGATAATGATAAAACAGAAAACAAAAACAAAAATTAGCCTACTTCAAAAATTAATAAAAAACGTGTGTATGTTACTCTTTTATTATTATTTTTTTAATGGCCGTATCTTTCAACTTATCAATTTTCGACCCTAAGTGTGACATGTTTTTGGAATCAGCTGTTGAAGAATCCAAAAATAGAAAAATATACAGAGCGTTCCATTTAAAAAATATCGATGACGTCATAACGGAAACAGTAATGACATCATAACCAAAAAAATATAAAGGATAAGGTGCGCAATTGAATTTAAAAATCAACGTGTCCAAGGAATTTTTCTAAAATAAGAACAAGTTCTTATTATTTCTTACCGATGTAGTGAATTATATGAAAGTTGCTGGAAGAATTTTGAGGGAAACATCAGAATATACATGTTTAGCACATGGGCTTCATAGGATTGCTGAAGCTATTAGGGGTGCTACCCTAATGTTGATAATTTGATATCTAGTGTAAAGAAAGTTTTTCTTAAAGCACCAAGTCGTGTACAGTTATTTCATGAAATTCTACCAAATACTCCATTACATCCACAGTCCATTATAATACGATGGGAAACTTGGCTAGAGGCATCATCGTACTATTACCGTCATTTTGAAAATGTGAAATTCCTAATACAGCAGTTAAATCTAAATAACGCAGTTGCTATTTCACAGGCGCAACAGGCATTTATAGATCCAACTGTTTAAGAAAATCTGGAGCGCATACACGAAAGTTTTTCACGAATTCCTCTAGCCATACGGGACCGTCCCTGGTTTTACGTTATATCCGATTGGTAAATCCTACCTCTGTTGATCAAGTGATTAAAATCCATGACAATTGTCAAAAAACGAAAAAAATACGAAACAATTATATGTACAAATTGAGCCAGACCACTAGATACACGACTAGCGGTATGCGCAGTTTACAGTTGTCAGTCTGAATACGAACTCTGAACGAAAATTAACGATTGCGCCAGGGCTCTTTCTGGGAGAAGCATGCGAGACAGAACAGATTTCAAAATCGCTAAAGCTGCGGTGAAGAATGTTGCTCGTTAATCTAAAGAAATCTTTGCGATTAACGTATTTATTAAAATTATCTGAATGTTTCACAATTTTATTGTTTCTTCCGAGATGCCACAGATAGTAAACCACTAAACTATGAAAAATATGAGAACAGCTCACAATCAAATTGTTTGGGCCGTGCACGGCATCTCATTGAGATTTAAATTTATTTTTGAATAGTATTCTTCCTTTTAAATGTTAATCGGGTTCTTTCTTAATAAATGTCACCAGATATATTAAAATCATTTATTCACATTAATTTGAATTGATTTTAGTGAAACAGTTTATATAGACATTAACTCACTTTTTGCATAGAAAGTAAAATTCGGTGGCATACATACCATATTGATTATTATAGTTTTACACGCCTTGGTGAAATAAGAGTAGTTTAATATGCTGTTTGATAATATACAAAAGTAATAATCATAGTGCTAAATAGTCGTTACCAGACTTAGTGAAATTCGATATCCTACATTCCTCATTACCATTCTATCCTGCCCTTTTCCTATCGAATTACAGGGACTGTGGCTTTTGGTAAGGGAATTTCTAATTCATACTTTTCTGGTATTACTTATATTTGTATATTCCTTGTTCTTTAACGTGATAATAAATAAATACAGTCTAGTTAAGTGCAACATAAATATTGATTTTTTTTTCGAAACAAAAAGTAATTCTAAAAACATAAATTATTATTCTCATAAATAATAAAGAAAAATAATACCAACTCTAAAAAAAAAATAAAACAATACATAAATATATAATTCAAATTAGATGCTCAAAAATACAACCTTTTTGGGCAAGGCAATATCCTAACCTATTATAGAATCCCCTTCGTCAGAATGCCGTTCGTGCTGCGATCGCCCCATCATGCTGGCAACAACCGCGCTGTAAACTATAACTATAAACTGTGCATACCGCTAGTCGTGTATCTAGTAGTCTAGCTCGATCTGTATTATCAAACAGGTCGAGCAATTCGTTTATACGGGGTGCGACATCATTTGCGGCGACTAGGTAGCAGATGCTAAGGCTTGTGGCACACGGACGGCTTTTTTGTCGGATAATTGTTCCACCGGAACGGGTTCGTGTGGGGCCGGACCGGGCTATGTGTGAAAGCTTCCATTTGATTACAATGCATCCGGCGCCGACACCGACTCCGGCTTTGCCGGTCGACGTCGTCTTGATGATGATGTTAGTTCTTGATTTGATGAGAAATGATCCCTCAAGAAGCACTAGGAGCGTTTTCAGAGAATTAATAATCGGCTATATCCGCGTGTGGCTTACTCTAGAACGTGACCAACGGCATCCGTATTATACGAAGGTGCAGCATTGCATGATAATGATGGCCTACTCTGACACAGATTTTACGAATGGTACCTCGATCATCACGAATATGAGTTGAATTTCCGGAATTCCATTCTCTGGACGGACGAAAGTTTATTTACACGGGATAATTATTTTCAATGTATACAACGAGCACCATTTGGATAATGAAACTTAACATTTAATATGAGTTTGAAATCAGCAACACCACTTTAGTTTAAATGTATAGGGTGGATTGTTAATTAATTGACTGGAGAGACATTTAAGCTTAATTATCTACATCTTTATTCCCTTTTTTTAGTTCATCCACATTATGCCAAATTGCGTAAATGCACAAAATTATTTGAATTTTCTGTAACGAAATTCCTAGATGATGAACCTCCAAATGTGCGTCAAAATATGATGTGTATGTACAATGGAACGGGCCTTCATTTTCCATTAATTGCACGTGACTGCCTCGACCATACTTTCCCTGACCACTGGATTGGCAGCGGCAGTCCAATTTCTTGAGCGCCTCGTTCGGATTTTTAAAAACCGCGGGTAGCTCAAAAAATATCGGTCTGATCGAAAAATCATAGCGACATTTTGTTTAGTTTTAGTCACATAACTATATGTGCGAATTTTGAAACACCCTGTATAATAAGCAGAATCAGATTTTAAAGTATCCATGAGTGAATTTACATATATAATGTTTGACTACCTATTGATAATTATAAACAATATTCTATTAAATGTTGCTTAATTATAATTACCGTGGGTTTTTTGTTGCTGTGATTATTGAAGTCAGAACGAAAACAAATTTCTAATCAAAATAACAATGGCACCCGTAATATGCTATTTGTGAATAACAAGGTTTTATAATTATTCTAAAAAAAATCAGCATAGCATAATATACAGGGTGTCCCATATACAAGGCTCACCACAGAGGACAAGTTTAATCTTCGCACTTTTGCAAAGTTAAAAATTCCCTAATGGATGGACCAAGAAATTCAATTATGATATGATTATGGATACAGAAAAATAATTGATCACAATCAAAGAAACGAAAATTAAAATTTTCAAAACATAAATTCTAAAATCGAAAATCTAAAAAATAACGACAACTCTACTATGTATACAGTTTTTAATTTTTCTAACATTGGTGAAGTGGGTAGCGTGTTTTAAAAATAGTACCGCCATGGATTAAAATTTTTATTAATAATTCGATTATCGATATCTATTTGGAGTATCACATATTTTATTCATACTTGATTATCACTACTATATAAGAATGACGAAGTTAATTCGAATTTTAGTTTAGGTTATTTATATGAATTAATCAAACTTCCCAGCGACATCATACCTTTCAACTCACGTTCCTTCACAGGTTTTGTTATTAAATTTGGGTCAAAAAGAAATCAATGGATCTAAAAAGATCAGCGATAAGCAAAGAGACAAAACGACGTATTTTTAAATCATTTAATTAATATAGTAACAATAAGCCATGATGCGGAAAAAATGAAGATTTGTATCAATACATATTTATTAATAATTGAAATTTAATTGTTTCTAAATATGTATCACAGTCCATTTATGTCATATTAATGTTATTTTGTAGTTTTCATGTATAAAGCACCGAATATCACACTTTTCCAAATACACTATATTTATAAACATAATCATGCTTCCAATACCGTTGTCTAACTGTAATTATCATATGTATACTAGTTAGTCAATCAACCGATCCATTGTTGTTGAAAACAACTAGGTACTCTACTCCAAGATGGTATGCATACTAATGATTAATGACAATGACATATAGTAAAGGTAAGTTAAAAAAAATAAATCGTAGGATAAACTAAAATTAAAATGTTCTTTTAATGAGTTTTATGCTGGTTATTCAGAAGTTCCTAATAGAAACTATAAATATAAAATTGATATAGACCTAATATTAGCAATACAGTTAATAAACTAATAAGGTAAACAAATTAGGATGTAAAAATAATCTCTGTAAGTAAAAATAATATTGGTAGAATGCTATTGAATAATAAAGACAAACCAGATAAAGTGAAAAAAACGGGAGTATATAGGCTGACTGTGACCACAATTACAACCCTCTGTATCGCTGAAGGTTCCTCAAGGTATCTTGTGTGGGAGAGGGCTACACATTTAGAGACAATGGACACAACCAATGTCCGAGTATGCTAGAATTAATTTCTAGTTTAGACAAAATCTTAGCTCGACCAGGGATCGAACTCGGGACTCCAGGGTGTGAGACAAGTGTCCTTACCACTCAACCACGACGCCACTGACGCTATATATATTGGACAAACTGGTCGAAATGTAAATAAACTGGTTAAGGAATACACATACACACACACATTAGTGTGTGTGTGTGTGTGTGTGAGTAATATGGACTTCATTCAGAGAATAAAGGCAAAATATCAGATTTATTAGACATTAGAAATTAAAAAAGCAATTAAAAATAATAAAAAAGGAACAAATGATCAAATAATATTCACCAGTCACATTTTAGACAAAATAATGATTTAAACTTCCATCGTTTTATACTATAAAATTTAATAGTTTAAAGTAGTATTTTACCTCCCAGATGTGATATACAGTTTGTCTCAAATTCGAGGCACTATTGGTATCTTTTTTGTTATTATAAGAGATACAGATTTAGTTAAATAGGGAAATTTTTGAGGAATTTCGTGACAAAATCAGAACTATTTACATTAATTTACCACCTGCCAGAGATTTCGAAAAAAATTTAAAAAATATAAATTTTTATTTTCGAATTTTCTATTATTTTTTTAAATCTAACATTTACTACTTATTATAATGATATTGTTTTATAAGACGTTAATGCCATTCAGTTTTTCATTTCACAGCATATTCTCAGCAATTGAAAATCAATATTATTTGTCAATTTTATCACAACGGATGATATGATTGCAAATTTGTGAAAGATCGGTGAGTAAATCTGACGCAGGATTTTTCTCATTAGAACTGTTTTTACAAATTTGAAAATCGAAAATTTACTTTTTCTATTTTGTCATGAAATTCTTCAAAACATTCCCCATTTAACCGAACCGTATCTTTTATACTTATACTTTTATGTGTTATATTTAAGATAGACGGTCGACAAAGGGTCGCTCTACAAGCCAGGTAAACAATTTTTTATGTGCTCATATGAATGAACGCAGTATAATATGGCGTATATTTTAATCACTTTTTTACACATGTCAGTTCAAAATGCAGCATATTGCTTTATATTAAGATAGAGAAAAAACATAACATTGTTTAAAGCAGAGATATGAAAATTGTGCAGCAAAAAATTTGGTCCGCTCTAAAGCAGGTAGAATTTAAAATTGTTTTATTTTCTATTTCTTATGGGTACACAAAATAAAAAATTACGGACATTTTTAAGATGTTTGGCTTTCTTATAGCTAAATCGATATTTTTTATTCAATTAGGATGTTATTATTTCGGCGTAACCAGTTATTTTAGTTTCTTATTCAAAACTTTAAAGAAAATATGAATGTATGTGAATTTTATTTTTGTCATTTTGTTTCTTTCCACTGCTAACCAATAAAAGGCATTTCTTGTTATTGTAAATAAATTGACGTATGTACACTCTGTTGAAATATTTTTCCACTGATTCAATAAACCTAAAAAGGTATTTATCTTAATTCTTATGCTTGAAATATTTTTTACGCCTGGTAATAAATAAGTAACCCATAATGATATATTTATTACGCCTGGAAATAAGCAATTTACAATACACTCGCTACTTTGCCCCTTGTAAATCGGGCTCACTGAGTCCAACTCACCACTGCAAAGTTTAAGTGAACAGACTTTAGTTGTTCATTTGTTTATTAAAATATTGCATAGAGGAACAAATTATGATAATGTACTAGATTTTTGAAAGAGGTGCCGATGTACTAAAAATTATTAAGCTGTACTGAATCTAGTACAATTATTAAGCCCCCCATACACCTGCAAACAAATTGCGCAACAGAGGCTGTTGTGCAAACAATTGTATAATGTATGGTGTTTGACGTGCTGCGCAACTAGTTGCAGAAATTCAAACTTGGTTGAAATTAATTGCACAACGAATGGCGTTGCGCAACTATTGCATCAACACCAAACACAGGGGTCTGACGGCATGTTTCCGTAGGTATACGACAAAAGCAACTGAAGTTTGTATAAAATTGCGCAGTGTATGGGTGACCTTGTTCGCACAACAATATGTTGTGCAAAGTTAGTTTGCGCAATTTGTTCGCAGGTGTATGGGGGCTTAATCACAACCCTGTGTACAACACCTTCCAACATCCATATACACGTTTCAACTTGTTACACAACGGCGCATGTTGCACAAATCACTGCAAGCAGGTTTGAATTAACTCAAACTGTTGCGCAACAGCTCAAACACAGGTATACACAATCAACATGTTTACACAACACTCTTTAGATGCGTAAATTGTTTGACCGTGTATGGGGCTTATAAGCCACGATCTGGAGATCTGAAACGAAACAAAAATTCGAGCTATTCCACAACATATGCTCCTGCTCTGATGGATAATTTCATTTCCCGATTAGAAGAATTCATTTTGAGGCACCAGGCAATTTCCGTACGTCCAGCGCCGGCACATGGGGTAAGGGACAATAACAGTCATTTGTACGGACAATTAAAATACATACATACCTCGAGTGTCTTAACATTTCATGAAATCTCGTGTACCATGTTCAAGGCATTGGTATAGATTACAAGACATGGGCCATATTGAGATACGTGGATCGTAAACGCCTGGCAGCTTTACACGTACACTGTGTCCCAGGATAAATGGCGTAACGTGTGGGTCCGCAGGGCCCGCGGCACAGGAGGCCCGCCATATAAGGGGGCCCCGCTTTTACTAAATTCTATTCACATTAACTTTGCAGCGTTGGCCAGGGAAATGGAACAAAATGCGCGCTGATGATTTTATTATCGAAAATTATAAAAGATCTAATTAATAAAAACAGGTCTTTATGTTAGGTTAGGTTAGACAAACTTTTAAAACAATATAATATTTTGCGGGGAGCCCCAGGCGAACGTGTTACGCCATTGCCCAGGATAACAAGAGGTGTAATAGACAAAAATGTTGGAATGGCACTTGGAAATTCAGTCCTTCTTCATGTAAAAGTAAAGCGTCATACACACACTGAAACATGTTGCGATACATGCATCGAGTCCTAGGTTTCTAGAAATATGCATCAGTTTCACTTCGCCACACATGCCAGTTTACACACACTGCAACTTGCATCATGAAATCTGGAAGCCGATGCGTGCATCGCAATATATTTCAGTGTGTGTAGGCCGCTTAAGACATATCGAAAACGAGTTGATCGGCGTTATACAGGGTATTTTATAAGTCAATTTATAAAAATATCGTCACTAATATATACTTTCATTTTTCATGAAAAAAAATCCAACAAAAAAAAGTTTTTTGCAAATTTCAAAAATATACATTTACTTTGTTGGAACTGCCCCTTTTTCAATAAAGTAGTAAATTATTTTGAATTTTTAAAATTGATTTTTCCAAGTTAAGACTGCTCTGAAATCAAAAACACCTTTTCTAAAATAAATTCTTATTATGAATAATTTTTGTTCTTAACATTTTATCTTATTTTGAACAAAAAAACCGACTACTAGTGAAAAGGGGGAAGTTCCAACAAAGTACATTCATATTCCTAAAATTTGCTAAGTAAATATAAATTGCATTGTAAACAACTTTTTTTGGAATTTTTTCATATACTGAAAAATAAAGGTAGTTTATTAACGACGATTTTTATAAATTGACTTATAAAACACAATTCCAAATTTTTGTCTTTATATTCCTGTTACATCTATCCTAGGATACAGTGTATATGCCATTGCCTGTGATATAAGCAGTAAAATATTTTCCTTTTCAACACCAACATTACACAAATATATATCCTCAAGTGTTCGCACATTAGTTTGCAACACCCGTTTAATACATATTAACATTGACTTCGTCAACACAAATTCCACGTACTGATTCATTGCGTTCTCCGTGATATTAATCTGAACTGAATAGAGAATACAGTCTAGATCTCGCTGCGCACTTGATCCTGTAATTTCGTCTTGGCTCGCCCTGTGTATTCGAAAATAATTTCCGGTTATAGACTTTTTTATCTAGTTTACTTGCATTTTTTTTAAATTTCTAGCTATCGTAGAACTCGAGATATCGAAGTCCGACGCACTATTGCCCCACCCTGTATATGCAGTTTGTATTATACCTACGTATTTAACGTCGGCGTTCACCTTAATTAGCACATATGGTAACAAAAATAAGAGATGTCATACGATTATTATATGTATATATAAACTTTAATAGGCAGGCGAGTTGTCACGGAAAATTACACATTACAGATAATAATAAATATGAACAAAACAAAAACAATTGTGAAAGCAAAGCAACAGGATCCATGGGACATAATTAGGAAGTATCGGTAGGCGTTTAATTGGATTGTACACTTACGTCCAAAAAATCTACGCCTCAAAATGTTGGACAGTTCCCTGTAAAACGACATCTCATCCCGTTCTGATTTTTCATAGTAACTGTGTTAATTTTACAGGACAAAACGGCACAATTTCGAGTTCCATATCTTAGAACATATTTTTACACGAGTACTAATAATAAATCGATGAATGAACACGCGCGCGCAACTTTGTTGCTAGGAAACTGACAACATGATCGTTTCAAAATCTAATCAGCTCGTTAAATGAGGTGAGAGATAAACGTTAATCTATTAAGTAATCAAAATGAACCATAGTCGCACTTAATTACTATAGACATTAAAAACGTTAGATAAAAATAAACACCATGTCAGATGCAGTGGCGTAGATCACGACGTGGTTCAGTGGCGGCTATCCCATATGGGGCCCTGCAAAATTCAACTGGGTGCCCCCATAAGATGACAAAGTATATTTGATTTGAATAAAGCCACAATATACAAGTACTTCAGCCAAATAAATACATATTTCGAAGTTTGACGGAAATAACTGAAAAGTTTTGAAACTTAGCAATGATGTTCATTCAGGCATACTATTAAATATACTAAAAGACCAGAACTCAATCTGTAGCGCTCGAGCCGCCATCTTGAAAAAAATGGTGCGATTCCATTTCTTGCTTATATCTCGCTAACCATTAGCAATATCCGAATTAGGTATCATATGAAAAATAAAGATGCTAAAATTCTCTACAAAAAAGTTACATACATTTTTCCGTAACTATTATT